AAGTTTCAATGGAGCCAAAATCTCTCTATTAAGTTTTATGTGGATCGGTCCATGGTTGACCATAACCCCCATATAAGGTCCCCTTCAAAAAAAGACTTTAACGCTCATTACTGACTTAAAAATAATAGTATAGCAATGAAATTTGACATAAGTCTCTTGTGATCCAAAACCTCTCTACCAAATTTTATGTGGATCGGTCCATAATTGACCCTACCCCCCATATAAGGTCCCCTTCAAAAAATGCCTTTAACGATCATTACTGGTTTAAAAATACGACTATAGCAATATAATTTGACATAAGTAAGTCTCTTACGAGCCAAAGCCTATCTACCAGTTCAAATGACTTTTAACTGGCTTAAAAATACGAGTAAAGCGGTAAAATTCGACCCAAGTAAGTTCTTTGCGAACCAAAATTTATGTGGATCGGTCCATAATTGAACTCATCCTCCTATAAGATTCCCTTCAGATAATTAATTTAACACTCATTACTGGCTAAAAAGTACGAGTATATAGATGAAATTCGACATAAGTAAGTTTCTTACGAGCCATAACCTCTCTACTGACTTTTATGAGAATCTGCATATGATTGATTATCGGTCCATGACGATTATTGCTGACTTAAAAATACGTGAACAGTTATGAAATTTAATATAAGAAACATTTATAGCAACGTAAATCTTCCTACCGAATTTCGTGCGGAAAGTGTCGGAAAGTGATATTCGATGTAAAGATGTTTTATATGAACCAAAATCGGTCTAAATGATTTTATTAAAAATTTTTTAAAATACGGTCAATTGATGAAATATCACCCTGATGTTTATAGGGGAGAATTCCTTTTAGGGCATTCAGTTTAATGGTGGGTATATAAGAAATGACGCGTGGTGTGTAACTTGCAGCTTATAAAGTGCGAAAAGTTGTGTACTTCCACCTTTAAGACCCTTTTACATCATACCACAAGTAATATGATCTGTCAAAATTATGTGTGGAAGAGAACGGGTGGGATAGTCTAAACGTAATAAAGCTATCACACATGAAAGATAATACAAATTGAAAATTTGACAGTCTTATGGTTCTCTTCATTTTTTGAAATGATTCAAAAAAACAAGAAAGTTTCATTAGATCAGGGATATATTTTTATGTAAACACAAAGTGAAACAGCTGTTTCAATCTTACTTTGTTATTGTAGTATACCAATTGTGTAAACGCAAAAAATATAAATCATACAACTTTTATTCTCTTTTTTAAAATACGGATGGAATTTCATTCGATTTTCCATACGTAAAGTCGTACGTAAAATAGTGTAAAGCCCACATAAATGGTTTATTATTGGGTTGTGAAATGTACTTTATAAACCGATAATAAACGATGTTTGCAAAGCTATGTATACGCGGGTTTTTAGATCTTACAACGTTGGAAGAAAAATTTTCATAAAATGTCTAACAACCGTGTCAACTTACATTTTTTATCTTGCAACATTGTCAGTAAGAAAAGAAAAGTTGTAAGTTTACACGATTGTTAGATATTTTCTGCACATTTTACTGCCAACGTTGTAAGATCTGACAACCGCGTATACATAGCTTAATGATGGGTAAATACTTAGTTGATGATAGCTCCTATTTAATGTCATCTTCTAAAAATTACTTTATCTCTTACTTTTTTACCTTATCGGGGTACATTACGTTGTTGTTGCCTGTTAAGTAAAATTTCTTGTTTTAAAATAACTAAATCAGTACAACATCAATTAAACAAATGTGATATGTATAATTTAAATGTTTTTGCAAATAAAACATTTGTCTTCACATTTATCAGGTGTTTTATATTCTTCGAATCAATTACATATATTTTAAGGAACTTGGAAAATATGTTTATTTTATGAATAGATATTAATTGATATTTTATGTTTTAAACATTTTTGGGTTTACACAGTACTCAATGAAATATAAATTTTATAGACCCCTAAATTATTATAAGTATTTTGAATTGATTATATTATATTAAATGCAAATTGAGCTGGTTAGGAAATAAATACAGTTCTATTTTGTTTGTCATTTTCAGTGAGTCATTGCGAAATAAATTAATTATTTTATTATATTTTTTATGCAAAATAAACACAAACATGACTAAGAAAACAACAAACACTGGTTGCATCGTTTGAATTTTAATTACAACTTATTTTAGAAAGCCTTGGAGGGGAGAGGTGCTCAATTATTGTATTGCAATTGAATTGTGATTTGTTTTTGCATTTTATAACAAATAATAAATTGTATGATAAAATTTGTTAATTTATTAAGGTTACTTTTCATAGATAACAATTTGATATTAAGATGTTTTTGATTTTTTGATATTTAATTTTACATTTTGAAGTATAAAAACATGAAATTTGAAATTGTAATAAAATTAATCATTGGAAGGAGTGGTGTAGTACAAAAAAATAAAAATTAATTTGTTAAGAATGTATTAAATATTATTTAGCTATTTTTTCACATATTCCATATTTTGTTTAAAAATATTCACTTTTTCCTCCAGTTAATCTTAGAATCATTAAAGAAATACCTGCATTTACTATGAAAAAGTAGAAAAGAAACTAATTCTTCTAAAACATCTTTAACACCCAATTGTTTATGTTAATTTAAAAAAACATATATTCATAATATGTAAGTACAATAATAGAAAATTAACCAAAAAAGTGCTGCACAAATATTTAAATTGCATTTCACACATTGATCTTAATAAAACCTAATGAAGCATTTAAAATAAAATAAACAGATGTAAAGTTATCTTGGACCACCACTCGCACTACTCATTTATTTATTCCAATGGACAGGTTTTTCATTGAAATATTCATAAGTAGCCGCATTTATGGGTGTTAAATATAACGTGTAAAACGCGCAGCCATTCAACGATTCCATGGACACTACATTGTGCACCGTCCATAAATGATTGGTTTGCGTTCTTAACACTTGCCTTTTCTATGGACATTGATATGTAAAAGAATAATAACTAAGTTTGTATGTTGGATGTGTCATGAGATAAGTTAAAGAAATTTAAAAGCCAGAGCTCATAGTAATTTCGTATTCTTAAATATATGGAATTTAATCGGTAGTAAAGGGATTTTTTGCGTAGGTCAGTTAAGGTGTTGTAAATATTACAAACTCATCTTTTGAGTTGCAAAAAACAAATTACGCCTGCAAATTGATTTGTTGGCTTTCTTTTCACTTTTTATCGTGTTATCATATATGTATGTACTTATTATTGTCATTCTTCTTTTATTTATTTATTTACTTCATGCATTCCAAAATATGTGTGTGTTGTTCTTGCAGCATTTTTTCTCTTCTGCAGCAAATTAATATTGAACAGAATATAAAATTCGATGTTCCGCAATAAACGGAAACAGATAACATATATTAACATCATGATTAATTACTTTTAAATTAACAACTTTTTTAATTTCCTGCCTCTGAGTAATTTCTGATATTTCGTGAACAAATACATGTATAAGCAATTTAAATGTCATCTTTTTACCTACTATCAAAATTATGAGGAAAATGTCCTTATTTAGAATAGTAAAAGGATAGCTAAAGAGGATAGAAAGCTAAGTCAAAGCGACTTCTAGTTTAGCACTTTGAGAGAAGACCACCTATATTTTAATATGATAATGTCCTAGGTGTAGACATTGTGAATCCTTTCAGCAACTAAACTAACCAAAACGAATTTGTTCCTTAAATACTGGTCACAAAATTGGATTTGGTTTAATTGTTTCTTTTTTATTTGTAATACCCAGCAGTTCGGTGGGATAGTCAGTAATTACCTAAAACATACAACATAAGGTATCCCTAGCCATCGGCAACCCAGAAACTGATGAATATTTAACATGTGCTTGTCCTACATACAAGAAAGACAATCGTCACTCCATAGATTACAGAGAGACTGTCAGAAAGTGAGTCCAATAAAGTCAATGCATGTCAATGCTTTGCTTAAGTTCATTTTTTGGTGTACACTCTCTAGATTACTTGAGGACTGCAAAGTGATATCTGTCTCCGCTCACGCTTACAAAGGGAACACTGCACTGACGATTGTCTCCGCTCTCGTTTACAAAGAGTTCATTCGTGGCGTACGGCGAATTAAAGCCAACCAAGTGGAATACATTGACGCACTGTTGAACTGCTGGGTTGTAACAGATCTTATTTCTTTCATTTTCTATTAAAAGTAAGGACAATGAAAAAAGTTGTTTGGGACAAACAACTATTACTGCATAAATTCTAGCTAGTTGCTGTAACCATTTCTTTATACGCTTGTACTCATTTACATACATTTTGCATCTTATCAATGTGGAACGTATTTACTCGGAATAACTTGTGTTTGCAGTTCATATCCACACATTTAAATACAAATGTTCAATTATTGATTTTCAAAACCGAAAATAAACCCACAATTAATGAAGGCACAAACCCACAAGTGATGAATGCAACTATATTTCTCGAGGAGTACGAGTAAATAACATGCACTCACTCATAAATATTTATTTTGAAAGTAAACTAAAGTGTTGAGTGTGCTCAATTGTTTAAAATTCTACAACTGCTCTATCGGTGGGTTCAATTGATCTGTGGTTGTGTCTTAAGAAAACAAGGATAAGTGTTGGAAGTTCTCAAGTGTGGAGTAAGACCACCAATCGTTAGAGTCAAATGAAACCTACCAAATTAATTAGTACCCATGATATGTTTTAAAACTCCATATAATTATCAACAATTAAATTGTTTTTAAATCAAACAATCAAATCCACTTACCAAAATACATGAACTCATAAAAAGACCTCACACCACAGTGGATCAAATTTTATATAAATATTTTCATTTCAATTATGTTTATATGTAAATAAATATACAGTCGTTACACTATGTTTATTCATTTATGTTTCCATTTAACACACATAGGTAGATGATTGTATTTCAATAAATATTTCAAACTCTTTAATTAAAATTGTTTCTTTTGAATTTTTACAGATTTCAAGCTGGTTCCATCTACACATACATTGGCGAAGTATGCGTTTCGATGAATCCCTACAGACAGTTGAACATTTACGGTCCAGAGACAATAAAAAACTACAAAGGTCGAGAATTATTCGAAAATCAACCGCACATATACGCGATTGCTGATGCCGCGTACAGAATATTGAAACAACGTCATCAGGATACCTGCATATTGATATCAGGCGAATCGGGAGCTGGCAAAACAGAAGCATCCAAAATTATTATGAAATATATTGCAGCTGTTACAAATGTCCATGGACAGAATGAAATTGAAAGGTGAGTTAGATTGGAATTGGATCCCAGAAATTGAATCCTAAAATTATGTTAGATATTGAAGGTACAGCTTTCTTGACGGTAGATATAGTTTAACTTATATCTCATTTCAAATAATGGAAGTGGGTTCATTATTTCGCTTATACCCAATACAAATCCAAAGTTGACCAATAAACGCTATAACTGCCTGAAAAATTTTATACAGAACGGTCCATATTGTAATACCATCTCCCTGTAATCACTTTAACTAGAACAAATTTATTAAAATGTAGGTATTTTGTGACGATAGGACAATAATTGTTCGATAGAATATCTCAGTTATAAATTAAAACAATATCCTCAATGAGTTTCAAACACAAACAAACATGAGAACCGCATCCTTTACCTTTGTCTTTTACATACATAAATTGGTTACACTTATAGGTATTATTCGATATTACTAAAACTTTCGATATACATACATATGTTATTTTTTAAATAACAGTAAAGAGTTAATATTAAGCAATCAAAATATTATCCCGAAATCCTTAAAAAAGTATACACACAAAGTACCTCACTTCTATTTAAGTGAGGTATTAGGAACTGAATCTACTTTTTTATTTTTCATCCATTTTTTGGATAAATACCACTTTTGTCGTATGGGGTTAGTTTAGTAGATTCCTTTCTATTTTTTATTTTATCAGACTAAATACTTTCTTCGGAAATTGATAGAATTAAGATCTGTAGGATTTTTACCCAAAGGTTTTCGTCAAACTTCACTATGGTTGTAAGCACTGAAATAAGCACTGAAAAAAGCACTTACAATTTCTATGATTAAGGCATATTTAAATCGAACCTTATATGTTTGCTTTTTCAATATTACATTAAAATATCAAAACTAGCCGCTCCCTGCTGGTAATCATTAACAGTCCACTTCTAATGTAAAACCCCTGCAATGACAGTTTAATACCACGCAAATAGTACAATCATAGTAAACATGCACTGGCCAGTCGCTCACACCCTCACTATTTTAGACTGGCAAAATATAAACATTAGGGTAATAACTATTTTTGGGCGGTAAAATATCAAAGCACTACCTTATTGCCAATACTGTCCTGATAATAAAAACCTAGTTTTTGGTGAAAAACTTCCCGCACCAAAAGTAATTTTTAAAATACTTTTATTCGTTATTTTTACTAAAATTATTTTAATAATAATTTCATATAAATACTATTGTCTAAAATATGTAATATTATCGCGATTTATTAAAAATTATCGTTAAATTGTTTTAAAAAACAATACTCTCTATAAGATAATGTAAAAAACTTACAAAATTGTTGCGCCAAATATATTTTTTTCTCATTTAGAAAAAATTATATTTATACAAAACTTTATCGCGTTTGGTGCGGGAACTTTTTTCACGATCGCGAAAAAATCATATCAAATTCCGTAACATCTGTTCACGCTCTACAAGGTTTTGCTATGGTATTTTTGAAATTTTGCAAAATTTGGAAAAAGTTATACCCTAATGTACATACATATATATGTATGTGTGTCTATAGTTCGGATGACACCATAGCGACAATGAAAACCGAAAACAATTTTTTTTATCATATTCTTATATCTAAAAAAATGCATGTACTAACTAAATAACATATAGTCAGTCATGTTTATCCTTCCATGACTTGAAATTACATGTGTACATTGTGTATTAGGGTGATGTTTTTATTCTATTTAATTTTTTCTTATTTTAAGAATTAATATATCTGTGGTAAGTCAAATGTTATTCTAGTCTGTCAGACCACAGGTCTGAGGTTCGATTCCCACCAGAGTCACTGGTAAAGTGATGATGTAACATACAATCTCTTTTAAACTAACTAATTATAACTATACTCATCCCAATCTCACTCTTTATAATAAAAAAGTAGAAACTACCCTAATGTTCTTATTGGTCGCTTTTTAACGATTGTTACTTAAGAATTTTCTAATTAGTAATAAATGTGTATTCCTATGTGTGTAAGTTTTTGCGGATTTTTGCCGCCAAATAAAGGCAATGAAATTTAATTATTTTATTACAAAAATTAATAGTTGTACGTGTAATAAAAATAAAATAAAAACCTAAGACTATAACATATAAAAAGGACAATCTTCTTTAATGTTGTAAAAGATTTAGGTTTAAACTTTAAACTGTCTGTCTATAATTAAAGTTTTTATATTTTTAATTGAGTTTTTATTGTTAGAGTTTGGGATCTTAAGTTTGTAATCGCTAAAAACGTTTAACAAACTTCTTTTTTTATTGTCATATTAAGCGATTGTTTAACAGACTTCCATAATCGTATTAAATATAAAAAAATTAATCTTTTTATCAATTGTTTTTCAGAGTGAAAAATGTCCTGATTCAAAGTAACGCCATCTTGGAAACATTTGGTAACGCTAAAACCAATCGAAATGACAACTCCAGTCGTTTTGGTAAATATATGGATATTGAATTTGACTATAAAGCTGATCCAGTGGGTGGAATTATAACAAATTATTTATTGGAAAAATCACGTGTGGTGCAACAGCAGCCAGGAGAACGAAATTTTCACAGTTTCTATCAGGCAAGTGGATACTAATTTTTTTAAGGACAGAAATTTCAAAGTTGAAAAGTCCTCGGATTTATTTATTTTAATGGTGAATCGCATGGAATAGGTCCCAATTTTTTTCGAATATTATCTAAAAAAAAATTCTTGAATCAATCCAGAATTCACTTATTCCCTAAATTTTAAATATATTGCGAAGTTTTTAAGTTTTTTTCTTAGGGTCTGATTCATAAACAGTTATCAAATTTTGTATGAAAATTCGTTTTATAAACCTTTAATAAATGTTTATGAAGGCCCTAAGCAACAAAATTAAAAAAAAAAATACTACAAATTTATCTTTATCAATGTTGAGCTATGTATGTAATTGATCGGTAATGTAAATACATATTTAAAAGCAACTAAAGCCTTAAATGTTATTTATGAATTTATGAGTTGATACTTAATATAATAAACTAAAAAAAACTATTTGACTATTTTATCATTGAAATTTAATGTTGTTTGTTTAGGATTAAATTTTTATTTAACACAAAATTATAAAATACACATTAAAAACACTTTGAAAGCCCTGCGTGTAAACGATAAACAATTGTAAAATTGTTCTAAATTCTAAGTTTCATTAAGCTGATATGTATACGAATACATATACTTAATTTCCTTAGTTTGTGTTACCCAACCCAAAATAAAGAAAACGCTTGTCATCCATTGTTGGATGAGCAACAACACAAACACGCCCCACAATTAATTAAAACTACAAATATTGTTTTTAAAGGAATTACGAAAATCTGCAATATAAAACTCAAATAAAAACTAAAAGAAATTACAACTGACCATGTATAAATGTTTATTACAACATTACATTTTTACAAATAAAAATTAAATGGCCATTTCAAATGGGTTTTCTTTTATTGTTGAGTAAGTGCTTCTTATCCTTAATGAAAACTCAAAAATGAAATCATTGTTTTCATTTTACTTATTATACTTAAATAAGCGCCAACATTTTTCTAAATTGAATACCATTCACACAGACACAGTTTGCCATTCATTAACAGAAAATTAGTCATTTAAGTTGAAAATTTAATTTGTCATTTAATCATCATTATCAATATTACAATTAAAACAGAAGAAAATATTTTCGTATTAACACTTCCTAATGGATGTGTTGTTTTTGTGTTAAACAAATTGTAGTTCTATTTGTTTTTTTTTTTTTTTTTTTAAACATTTTTTTATTTTTGCTCTATTAAAAGGTTGACTAAATATAAATTAAACAGAACGAACTTATAGTCATACTTAACATTATTTTAAACGTTTAAAGTCAATTAGTCAACAATTACAAGCGAAGTGTTGAAAATATTATTCTAAAATAAAACACAGTTCACGAATGTCTCATTATAACCCAGCAGTCATATTAGCAAAAATTTCATGTGACGTGATAACACAACATATTACATTTAACATGAAAACATATAATATAATTAATTAAAAAAGTTGAGTTTGTGTAGTTAAAAAGTGATTTTTTAAAACATCGTTAAATCGCAATGTTTTCAATTCTATAGTAATTAATCCCAAAAATCTTATGCTTATCAAAACGACAGTCAAATTCTTGTCATACAGTTAAGTTAAAAAAATATTAGTTCATGTAAAATTTTTTAAATTTGTTGTTTTAATAATAGGGGATTCATGAAATGAGTGCAAACTTGCACAAATGGCTAATCTGTATTATTTAGAAGAGGGAAAATTTAGCTTAAAATGATCAGTTCAACTAGACAATCAAATGTATCAATCTTGTGGAAGTAAAATCGCATATAATTTTTGTCAAATTCAATGTAAAATCGAAAATGCAGAGATTGCACAGCTTGCGAAGCTTTTGAACGTTTATATGAAAATTCTTAATGTTTTGTTAGAGTATGGTAATCTTTATGTTCTCTGGGTTTTAGTTGTGGGTTAATATATATATATATATATATATATATATAAGTAATACCAAAGAATATTTATTAAATAGAATATTTAATAAATATTCTTTGGTAATACCTTATTTAGAGCAAATAAGTATGAATTTATTTATATAAAACATATTAAGAAATTTTGTAAAATCAAAAGAAAATGTTTTTATTTCAATGAAAACACTCTATTACAGAAAACCGCTCTATGTCTTATAAATAATGCAAACAAATTATATGAAGAATTTTATATGAAGACATTTTTTATGAAGAAATTTATTACATGAGAAAACGTTTAAAACTTCTTACGAATTTGACAAAAAGAAATATTTTTCTCTACTCAAAACCTTCTAAGATAGAAAGTTTTGAATATAATTTTACCTCGGTTCGATATGTTTAAGATATTTAATGGTGAAAAACTATTTTTCTGAAAGAGGCTTCCGATCTGTTAAAAATTTATTCAATGGATTTGTGTTTGTTTCACCAAAGCCGCCATAAAAACGAACCCGCAAATATCGCTTTACCTTAAAAAATTAATATAAGCCTAAATCATACCGCCGATTTTCGTAACGATGGGACCTCATTTGACCCTAAATTAGATTAGGAAGGGCATTAAGCACCACGACCCTGTTTTGCATCTTTTGTGCAACCCGTAACTAACGGGTTTGATGGGTGAGAGGTTGAATATAGCTTTCATGGGCTAGTGAAGCACAAAAGATTCTAGCTCAACGTGATCCCAGCATTGGACAGTTACACAATATGTATTCAGAGGTTTCTTCCTGACAGCTACAAAATCTGTATAACTTTTATATGGCGTTACCTAGCATGATTTGGTGTTATCTGAGACCGCAGTGTCCCGTGAGTAATCCCCTTAATATTCTAAGATCGTTTTTGTTAAGCGATAACAACTTTTGAGATTTTTCCTTAGATTGCGTAATTAAGCGCTTTGTCTGTCTAATACCCCATTTACACATACACGAAATCTAGTAGATTTCATTTAAAATCTTTTTCCAAATCTAGTCCGTTTACACTTACTATTCTTGACATTAAAGAAGATTTCATTTTTTCTAATATTTCTTGAAAAAGTGTGTGATATGAAAAATAAGAAGGAATAATGGGATATTTATCAAAATTCCATTTAAAATAAAAAATAGATATTTAAATATAACATTACCTTTTATTTTAGATTAACTTTTCATTCATGTTTTTCAATTTATAAAAATTTTGTCGACATTTTAATTTTGTTTGTTTGTTTTCCTCTTTTTTCTTGTGTAGTGTCGTATTTTTTAGTATTATTTAGGAAAAAACAGAGTTGCATCACTAAAAACTATTAGATTTTGAGTAGATTTTAACGAAATCTAGTTACGAAGTAGATTTTGTTTTGTATGGGAAATCTAGTTAAAATCAAGTAGATTTGGCTCGAAATCTCATAAGTACTAGATTTCGTGTATGTGTAAATGGGGTATAAGCCCAGTTGTAGCTTCCCAGTGACGAGCAAATTCCGATTTGACCCACGATAGCACCTTTCTCTGGCATACCATTGTGGGATACCAAATAATGGTTCGGCGCTAATAAATGGGCGATGGGCGCCCGTTCGTTGCCTTCATGGCCAACATATTGTTAATTTGTTGTATTTACCCTATTCATTTAGTGATGTCACACAGTCCATTACGACACTCGATCTAACTTCATATGATAGTAAGGCCTTGAGCGCTGCTTAACTGTCTGACATTATGTATATTCTTAGACCCCTTGTCCTTCTCTTCACACACTCCATAGCACAGATGAAGATACCAAGTTTCAGAAAAACATTTTAACGTCCATAACTCACTTATAAGCACTAGTATTATGATAAAATTTGGCATAAATAAGTTTTTATTTTTATGAGGAATGGTCCATGTTTGACCCTAGTCGTGATATAATACTTGTTTTTTATTTTTATCTATAAATTGCTCAAACAAGTACATATGTATGTATATAAGTCAGCCAAGTCCGATTACACTGTCACGTACAATATTCTAATATGTTCATTGTGAAATTTTCTTAATTTTTTTTTTTTAAATTATGGATTACGAAGGAAAAATAAGTCCCTTAGTATAAGAAATTAAAAAATACACCTACAGAATTCGCAGATTTTCGTATACATATATTTATATGTACCTTAAAAACACTTCCATTTTTGGTCACATATTATGTCGCCTTATTTTAATCCAATTCTCTGGGGACTAGTTGAATGGACCGATTTCAACCGTTTTCAATAAGCTTAGTCCTTGGACCAAAATAAAATTATGACCTGTACATTGATAACAACGGACATGACTTAATGATTCCAAGTCGATTGTTGTAGTTTATGACCAATATTTCTGTACACTACTAGCACTATAGTAGTATATATATTATTATACCATATTTTATCTTGTCGTAGATTTTCGCTTGTCTCAAAAGGCAGTAAGTCATAAAAATTTTGTTAATGACAACAAATGTCTTGTAAATACTATAATTGTCCAGTTGTACACAAAGAATATATAAAATTCTAATTATTGTTTAAAACGGAAATATTTAGCCATATTAGAACTTCACATTTAATATAATTTATTCAATTACTTAAACTTTATTATCAGGTCTGAGATTATCATGATCAAAAATTAAAAAAAAAAATAATTGTAATAATAAAAATGTTCATGAAAATTCTATGAAAAATAGACCGAAATGGGTAGTTGAGTTAGTAGGTCTAGTGCAAGAGTTTTACTTTTTAAATTACATTTTCAATTTTATATAATAGGTACAAATCGCACTAGGTCATAAATTTCTCACTGTTGATAGCTCTGTATTATAAAATATGATTTTAGAATATTAATTAACTAATTTGAAATTTTTTGTGTCTATCTATAGCTTCTAAGGGGAGCCAGTGACAATGAACTGCGTCAGTATCACCTCACAAAAGATCCATCAAAATATCATTACATGAATCAGGGAAGCATGGACATTTTATCCGAAAAGTCTGATTACAAAGGCACAAATAACGCATTTAAAACACTCGGTTTTACATCAGAAGAAATTTCAACTATATGGCGAATTGTAGCAGCCATTTTACATTTGGGAAACATTGAATTCCAAAGTGAGTAAAATTGAAAATTTAATTTGGTTTCATTGATATTTAATTTGTTTTATTTTTATAAACAACAGTGATTGAGGACGAACTGGTAATCAGTAATAAAACACATCTTCAGGCAGCAGCCCAATTACTGCAAGTTACCGAGGATGAATTATCAACATCTCTGACAACGCGAGTAATTGCTGCTGGCGGTAATGTAATGCAAAAGGATCATAATGCTACTCAGGCTGAGTACGGTAAAGATGCCTTTGCCAAAGCAATATATGATCGCCTCTTTACTTGGATTATATCGCGCATCAATCGTGCTATTTTGTTCCGAGGATCCAAGACTCAGGCACGTTTTAATTCAGTTATTGGTGTTCTTGATATTTATGGTTTTGAGATATTTGATTCAAATAGTTTTGAACAATTCTGCATCAACTATTGTAACGAAAAGCTGCAGCAATTATTTATTGGTATGTACAATTTGTTGGAGGAACACAAAGTAACAAAATCAATGAATGTTCCTTTTGCGAAATATTTTCTCGATCCAGCAGCTATTAAAACTATTTTATAAACAAATTTCAGAATTGGTTCTCAAACAGGAACAAGAAGAGTACCAACGTGAGGGCATTGCTTGGCAGAATATTGAATATTTTAATAACAAGGTAAGGTACTTGCACTTTAACTAAAACTTTTTTTTACTAAAATAAATTTTTAAACGATTTTAGATTATTTGTGATTTGGTGGAACAACCCCATAAAGGTATGATAGCTATTATGGATGAAGCCTGCCTCAGTGTGGGAAGAGTTACCGACGAAACTCTGCTCGGGGCAATGGATAAAAGTCTCAGCAATCATCCTCACTACAGCAGTCGTCAATTGAAGCCCATGGACAAGGAGCTTAAGCATCGCGAAGATTTTCGCATTACTCACTATGCCGGAGATGTAATTTACAATATTAATGGCTTCATTGAAAAGAATAAGGATACCTTGTACCAGGACTTTAAACGTCTATTGCATCATTCTTCAAATACGCACATAAGTGAAATGTGGCCCGAGGGTGCACAAGACATTAAGAAGACCACCAAACGTCCGTTAACAGCCGGCACACTGTTCCAAAGGTCGATGATCGATTTAGTCAATACACTATTGAAAAAGGAGCCATTCTATGTGCGCTGCATAAAGCCCAACGATATAAAAAGTTCCACCGTTTTCGACGAGGAACGTGTTGAACATCAAGTTCGTTACTTAGGTTTGCTGGAAAATGTGCGCGTAAGACGTGCTGGCTTTGTACATCGTCAGCGTTATGATAAGTTCTTGCTGCGTTATAAAATGATTTCCCAATACACCTGGCCCAACTTCCGTGCTGGCAGTGATCGTGATGGCGTACGCGTATTGATTGAAGAAAAGGGTTTTGGTCAAGATGTTAAATATGGCCACACCAAGATCTTTATACGTTCACCACGTACATTATTCTCTTTGGAAAAACAACGCAACGAAATGATTCCTCATATAGTGATTCTGCTGCAAAAACAAGTGCGTGGTTGGATTGCTCGTCAAAATTACAAGAAAATGAAAGCTGCAATGGTGATAATGCGAGCCTACAAAACCTACAAATTACGTTCATATGTCCAAGATTTGGCCAATCGTTTCCGCCCCGCAAAGAATATGAAAGACTATGGTCGTAGCATTCAATGGCCTCATCCTCCATTGGCTGGCAGACGTGCCGAACCCGGCTTACGTCGCATTTTTGATAATTGGAGAGCTTATATGATCCTGCGTAAATATCCTCGATCCGAATGGCCACAATTGCGTCTCCAGATCATTACTGCGACGGCCATCAAAGGACGCCGTCCCTATTGGGGACAACAGCGAAAGTGGGTGGGAGATTATTTGGCTAATTCGCAAGATAATTCCGCTTATTTGGCATACAGCACGAATGTAAAGAATTTAAAGAATCACGATGGCTTCAAGTCAGTGCTTTTCTCGTCGTTTGTAAAAAAATTCAACAAGCACAACAAACAAGCCGATCGTGCATTCATTATTACCGAAGGTGCAATTTACAAATTGGACGGTGCTAAAAATAAATTCAAAAATATGAATCGATCCGTATTTATACACGATGTAAGTTAATTGTAGAATTGTTTCACATTTTCGGTGCAATTAAATTTTAGAAATACGGAAATCTAAACATTTCAAAACAGCATTATTCTTTTTATAAGATTATAACTTACAATGTTAGTTTATTTTTTAGTTTAGATAAAAAATTACTCTTTTTGTCTTCCAATGCGCAAAAAAGTGTAAATTCATCACAACCCGAAGTGCTGTAAATTTGGATGAAAACCCTTTAGCGTGTCATTGGAGGGATGTTGTTAACTTTTAACTAGACCTTATCTTATTTTTAGAAGCGGTAAAAATCTGGCATTTGAATATCAAAAATAAACCTCATTCTCCCAATGACAGGCTTTTGTAAATTTCATTGGTTTTTCACCAAAATTTTAAGTATTTCGGATAATTTTTAACAGGGTTTTATTTATAACCCCACAGAAAATTTATAGCTTACTACATTGATATTGTATTGCTTATTTTGTATTCGAAAGTGCTTACAAACTTACACACATTCTGGCTTACTTTACACAGAATATGGTCGCTTGAAAATGACACACTAACTAATATACTTGGTTTGCGATATTGTGTGTAGATTATACTTTTTTTAAAATATACTTGTGTGTGGAAAAGTAGCTATTCCTACATTCTTACCGATATACCTAGTAAGTAAAATTGTTTCTACAGCTCCTTCCTAGCTGGAACACAAGTGTATCAAAAAGTATCTACAACAACTTTCTAGTTTAAATACATGTGTATTAAGAAGTATGTATGTTTTTTTTAAATGCTACCCAAATACATGTATCTACAAATTCATTCATAAGTATAAGGCCATTCCAATCATCACTACCCAACAGAAAATTTATAGCTTACTACATTGATATTGTGTTGCTTATTTTGTATTCGAAAGTGCTTACAAACTTACACACACTCTGGCTTACTTTACACAGGGTATGGCCGCTTGAAAATGACACACTAACTGATATACTTGGTTTGCGATATTGTGTGTAGATTATACTTTTTTATAATATACTTGTGTGTAGAAAAGTAGCTATTCCTACATTCTTACCGACATACCTAGTAAGTAAAATTGTATCTACAGCACCTTTCTAGCTGGAACACAAGTGTATCAAAAAGTATCTACAACAACTTTCTAGGTTAAATACATGTGTATAAAGAAGTATCTAAATATTTATATTTTTAAAAAAATGCTACCCAAATACATGTATCTACAAATTCATTCATAAGTATAAGGCTATTCCAATAATCGCTAGATCATGATCCTAATTTTAAGCAATAAATTTTGCTTAAAAAAATATTTTTCGATAAATGAAACATTTTTTGTTGATTAAATTACAGCACACTTGATTTTTTTATATTTGAATTTTTTGTTCTCATATACAATGTTAATCACAAGTATATTAAGATGTAATGCAAAAAAATTTTATTAAAAATTTAAACTTCATATCCAGATTTTATATACAAGTAAATCAAATTATAAGTAACACAAAGTAAATCACACAACATTGGTTACAATTCCGAGTACTCTGAAAATTTTCTGTGGGGAAGAAAATTTTTTAATCACAAAAGCAAAATTGTTGTAATAAGTTGTTTTTTGATGTGATTAGAAAAGTATGACTTTGACTCTTGTTGGGTTGTACTACTTCTACTAAGTAATAAAAATAAAATAATTTTAAAATCTTTATACCTTATAGAATTCATAGAAATTTTAATGTATTGTTACGAATTTGTTACATAAATTTCATGTTTTATATCTTTTTAGTTAACTTCTGTTAGCATCAGTACAGGACGTGATCAATTGATAGTATTCCATTCACCCGCCAACAATGATTTAGTGTTTTCACTACAAGGTGAACATGGTCCACTCAAGGAGGATCGTATTGGAGAAGTTATTGGTGTTATTTGCAAAAAATATCACGAGTAAGTTGTTTGTAACTGTTTGCGTTTTCTTTATCTTATTTAAATTTAATTTTCATTTTATTAGCATTTGTGATCGAGAGCTTAGAGTTGATGTGTCTCCAAACATTGCCTGCCGTTTGGGCGGTAAACCGCGCACAATTGTTATTGAGGCTGCTGCCGGTGTAGAGAATCCAAATTTCAGACATGCAGCAGGAAATATTATATTTGAAGTACCAGCCCATTATTGTGTTTAAAGTTATTTGTGGATTGTAACACATTAATTTTCCGACAAACAAAAAACAAAATCTAGTTCTTAAGATTTTTTCCTTTTTATATAAAGCTGGGCTTTCTTTGTTACATTCTTGTATAATTTATTTTTCTAAAAAAATCCTAAATGTTTTCCTAGTTCTTTGTCTGTTAAACTACCTTTTTTATAGTAGTTCTGATCTATTCTGTTTTCTTTGTATTTTTGTTTAAGAAGACTAATTTAATTAATTGTTAATTATTATTGTATGTTTAATTTATGATAAATAACTTAAGATGATCGTCAATCAATATGTGGGTTAAATAATTAAGTAAAGAAGTTATGATAAAAAGTATTAAGTGCATTAATAAAAAGTGCATTATTAATTATTATTTAAATATTTAACTATATTAATACACCTACACACTTAGTTGTATAAGTAACAACATATTTAATAATACAGATATGTATGTACATATTAATATGTACAATACTACTAAATCAACGAAAACTAAAACCAAGGCATTTTTTGATAACAATGAGCAACGAAAATTAAAGCATTTTATTTAGCACATTATTAATATAACATGAATAAATACATGCAAAAGTCTAAATACAGTGGTCTCTCGCTTTGTACAACTTAATTGAGATTTCGTTCAAATTAAACTGAAAATTTGATAAATTAATTATTTTTTCAGAAATGTACATATGCAGAAACATCATCATTTTTATTTACAAGTAAAGCCGCAAAACTTTTCATCGGGACACTGTGCATGTATGTATGTATTTAATGTTATTTTGAATTTTGTTTATTTGTAAAGCACACTAATTAGGAGTACTTAAATCGTATATGTATTACATCATACAAAATAAGAAATACACATGTAGAGAAAATAAGAAAAAAATACTATTAAAACAGACAATTTTCCACAGAGACATTGATAACATATTGCAGTTTCCATGCAAATGCTGCAGTTGTGTGTCTCATTGGAAAGTCGTATACAAAGAAATGGTGCCATCCACAAACATACATAAATACATACTCATACTTACATTTAAATATTTGCATATTTGTTGTAATGTATTTTTGTTCATCCTTCAAAATGTTACAATAAAAAAAGAAACTTAAATAGTTTCTAATTTAATCTAATACGGAGAGACCTTTAAAAGAAACGTGTGCCTTTTTTAATAGAGTGCTTTGATGATTTTTTTTATATAAAACTTACATACATACGAAATAGTATATAATTACATAAAAATATGGTCAAATTAAATTTTCTTTAAATAAATTGCATTTTCTTTAAGTAATTATGTATGTATGCTTATGTAAATACATACATATACTTATATGTAGGTAGTTAGATACATATGTATACATACATATATTCATATTGTACATATGTACGTTAATTTATTTATATTTTTATTCTTATATTATTATTAATTTTGAAATTGTACCAAGCAAAAAATTTATGTATACAGTATATTTTAAATAAAAATTTTAAAATTTAATACATTTTTTTAACTTTAACTAAATTTACGTTTTGCTTTTTTCTTGTTGTAAAGTTAAGAAATTACTTTACGACGATTAAGATTTCTTTCATATTATTTACCTATGTACATTAGGGTGCCCCGAAATGGAATATACTGATGTTCCCACCGAAAATGAAAATTTATTCCTTCAATACTATGTTCACATATCCATGTTTTAACTTGTTTTTGGAAAAACTCAATGAGTTTAAACACAACCGTTCACATATTAAATTACCGTGTTTTTTACTTTGAAATGTTTTTCCGACTTAAACATTTTGTTTTAAAAATTAAGATTTTCACTTAAATTGCACTAAATTTTATATTTAAACAAAATTTTTTATTAAATTAAAACAAATTTAAAATCTTTTCAACAACAATAATAATATTTTTTGTAATTTCAATTTTTATTTTTGACATTACTTTTTGTTCTAGCTGTGTCCATTAAACAAAAGTACGAAAAAAATCATTCCTGTTCTAAAAACATTATGTGTTTTATAATTAAACATGTCGAATTGAGATGTTTTTGAACTTGAAAAATGTATAGAAAAAAGAGTCGAATTTGAAGTGTTTTTTGAAAAAACATAATGTGTTTCAAAAAACACGAAGACGTGAACGTAGTATAAGATACCATTTCTCAAAATTTTTGTCCTGACGTCAATATTTGGTGAGCTGGATCAAAGGATAAAAAGGTTCCTTTTTAAGATTTATATGATTTTTTCCACATTTCTGGCAAATAAACCAAACGCAAATTTAGTATTATATGAAAGGTCTTTGAAAGACGATTTCAATGACATAACACAGATTTGTATACAACTCCAAAATTATTACAAATGTCGTAATTTTTCGGAAAATATTTAAGTTTTTAAAATTTTTATATAGAATAACATAATGTAATTAATTGCAATTATTACATTATAAACTTCATTCAATTTCACCGAAATGGTTTTTTCTGTTTTTCGAAATTCGTTATATTTTAAATATTACTTATTATGTACATCAGCATATCCGTAATTTCATTAGCTTTACAATGGTATATAACACTTTATGTTTTTATTCTATTATCAATCAAATTTTTCAGTATAACTGAAATATTAACACAATGTATCCCAAACATCTGCTTTTTCAACCCAAACATCTGCTTTTTCAACGAATTATATTAAATTTATCTATGTAAAAATGTAAAAAATCTGAAAATTTTACGAAAAATTAAAAAATTTCGATTACTTTTACTGTTACACAAAAAAATCTTATATGCCATTGAAAGCGTCTTTCAAGGACCTTTTCCTTCGGAAGAAATATGAAAAAAATCATAAAAACCTCTAAAAAGGACCTTTTTGTCCTTTGATCCAGCTGGCCAAATATTGACCTCAGGACAAAAATTTTGAAAAACGCTATCTTATAATCATTTAAACTTTAATTTTAGTTGGGAACATCGACACCTTATTTTTCCTCCATACAAACGGGGCCACCCTAATGTACATATATAGCAATGTTAAAAATTTTCAGAGTTTGGGAAAGCGGGAAAGCAGAAAAAAGCAGAATTTTTATAATAAAATAGTAATTTATACAAAAATAAAATATATGGAAAAATATATGCTGTACAATATTTTTGAATGTTATGTGTTCCAGGCGGGTACTTGTTCTGCATAATTTTTAGGCTATGTCGGGACAGTCTAGAGTCATTTAAAAGTTCTAAATGACAGATTAAAATCTACTTTGTAAACGAACAATATTATAAAATTAGTAGACTCGTATTGCATGCTTGAGGCAGTTAATGATAGTGTCAATTTAACCTTCGGAACAAGAGCTGTAGCAAAAACACCCCAAATCAAAAGCCTACAATTTCAAATTCGGAAATTAAATATCAAGACGATTTGTATTTGGATTCATCCACACATAAACTTATAAATAAAGAAATTACACCAAAAAAGACCCCGGTCAAAAAATAAAAAAGTTTTTGAAAAACCAATTTCTCTATCAGAATCAAATTTAAGAAAATGCTAATAAAAATCTATGAAAATCTGACAGGAATTCATAAATACTTAAAAAAACTAATATTTATTAGCTCAGAGTTTGCTTCTGTACGAACAGGTAACAGGCCTAATACAAAGCTTATGGGTGGATTCGGTTGGAAAACATTAGTTAAATGTTCAGCAAATACCCTCTACCGGTGGCTTAATATGTTTAGCTGCCATCTAAAGGGAGCAATTTGTCTGCTTATAATTGGTTAAACTTTTAATATACAGTGAATCAATTAAGTAATTTGCCTATGTAAAATTTTAAATTTTTTACTCCATTTTTTAAGTAAAATTTTATAAATTTTAGCAAAATAAAGTAATTTGTTTGTTGTATTTTTTAAAGAATATCTTATATTTTAATTTTCTAGTAAAATCGTGATATTAATTAACGAGATTTTTGATAAAATGTGAACGTATTGTTAATTTTTAAGGTAAATAAAGAATTTTGCTTTTTTAGGTTTTTTGTTCATTTTTTTAATATTGCTGCATTATTTTATAAAATTTAATATATTTATTACTCCTATGGCTAGACAACAGGACTCAAATCCTCCAGCCAAAGCAGAAGTGACGAAGTCTGCTGCTGAGGCGCCTAAACGGCAAAGATCAGAGGAAGAGTCCCCTTCGTTGTCAACCATCCAGCCGACGACTAAACGTCCAAAGAAGGCGCAAACTGTCGTCGTTAATAGGCCTTTCAGTGAGGTTGCCAAAAATCCACTGGTAAGGGCTATTATCGACAGGAGCAATAGTGACGGGGCCATCTCTCAAGATAAATGGGGGATCATCCGTCAACGAATGCTAGGGGTGTACTGGAAAATCCTTAAGGAAAATCCAGGACCCGCCCCCCAAAATGATGACGCTGGCTGGTTCCAGGGTCATATAAAACTGCTGGCTTGTTCGAATGAGCGCTCTGCGTTACTTCTCAAGCTAGCGATTGAGTCCCTTGGGGAAGTGTGGCCAGGTGCTATGTTGGACGTGGTCCCGGTATGTGAAATTCCTCGCAGACCGAGATCCATTGCCACCATCCCAACTGAGCCTCATGACCCGGCGGAGATTCTGGCGCTCCTTCAGAGCGGAAACCCTCATCTACCTACCCATGATTGGAAGGTGGTGAAGGTCTCCGAACCGATAGGAACGATCAGAAAGGCGATTGTGGTCCTTAATAAGGAGTCCGTGTCGCCACTGCGAGAGTGCGGAAGCAAAGTATACTATGGCTTTGATAGTATTACTCTCCGTACCTACCGCAGTGACGACAAACGCAACGCCGCTGCCTCGAAGGTTAAGCTAGAGGTTCCGCCCAAGAAGGACGATGATAACATCGACGATCCCGCTGTTTCAGAAGGCGGGGAGAACTCTCAATCGACCACAGGTCAATTGGGAGAACTCCTCGGCGATCTGAAAGTGGCGGAGGACGACGACACCCTTTCGGATACTGATCCGGAAGATGTCGACGTAACCGTCGTCTACGATCCTGACTTAGGAGATGGTGAAGGTATTGCAGATTAACCTTCACCACTCCAAAGCAGCATCTGCTGCCCTCCTCCTCCGTTTAGCTGAAAGAGGGGAGGAGCTAATCCTGGTCCAGGAACCGTGGACCCACCATGGTAAAGTTCGTGGACTCTCGCTTAGAGGCTATAAGCTTCTTCATGCTAACTGTTCAGGTAATATAAGATCCTGTATTCTGGCTAAGAGCCATTTAAACATCTTTATCCTGTCTGATTACAGCGACGAAGATACTGTTGCGGCTGCTTGGGAGTCTGGTAACTCAAACATCTGGCTTCTAAGTAGCTATATGGCACACGACCATGGCGACCAGCCACCAAATCGCCTGGTGAGGGAAATTGTGTGTGAGGCAGATAGGCGACACATTCCGCTTCTCATGGGTGCAGATGCAAATGCGCACCACACGGTCTGGGGAAGCTCAGACATTAACTCAAGAGGTGAGTCTCTTTTAGATTTTCTA